AAGCCTCTGCAGCCTTTGGAGGCCGAAAAATGGGCCTTCTGGAAATAGCAGAAGTGCCGAAACGGGCCCGTTTTCAGCCTCCCGAGGCTGCAGAGGCTTGCCGAGCCTCCTGGAGGGCGAAAACTGCCTCCAACGGGCCAAAAATCAGCTGGGAGATGCATGCATGCACAGTGCAGGTAAGGGGAGGGGTGGGGGTGTTGCATGTCCATGCGTGGGGTGTGTGTGTGCATTGCATTGTGGGTGCTGGCACGCACGCGCGTGCTATTGCATGCACACACACTTTTGGCACACCACGACAAAAAGGTTCGCCATCGCTGGACTAGGGCAGAGTTGGGTGGGCAGGACAACTGATCACCAAACTAAAGGTTCTCCCGAACCGGTCCATACCGGCTGAATCCCACCCCCGCTTATGACCTTGGCATGATGACGCGATCAAAATTCAGATGCTTGGCAACCGTTTCATCTTTATGGCCTGGGGTGTGCGTCATGCGATTCTCCTTTGGCGACTCTCTTGACGAGCCAAGTCAAGGGGGCAGGTTCACTTAACAACCAGGTTACTAATTTAAACCACTGCGGCGATTCACTTTAAGAACAGTGGCAAGAAAAGTCGCGAAATGGGGCACAACCCGCTTAGCGACATTTCTCACTGGGCAAGATAAATTTTGAGCTCAATGGTGGGTCATAAGCCACCTGTACTGGCCATGGGTTGATGGGCACCAATGCAGAGATTTTCATCTTTTATGACGGTTGTAGCGAGCCTTTTGCAACCTTTTGACCAGCAAAGTCGATAGGGAAGCCAGATTCACTTAACAACTGTCGTACTAACTGAAGAACTGCCGTGATTCACTTTACAATTGTCTCACTTAGCAACACAAGTTGTGACCTCAGTTGGAGGACCACCTCCATAGTGTTTTATAACACGGGGTCACCAACCTTTTGGATCTCAGGGACCACCAAACTCATAATTTTAAATCCCGCAGACCACTAATATGAATTTTGACTGACAATGGCTTGCTGATGTTGGTGGGAAAGTCGGTCCCTCCTCCTCCTCCTCCAGTACCGGCCTGCCATGGACTGGAGGAGCTGCTCCGGGATGACCAAAGGGCCGGTCCTGTGACTCCTCCAGCTCTGGAATATGGGACCGACTTTCCCACCAACGTCAGCAAGCCACCATGGGGCGGATTTCCCTCCCCCGCCGTTGGTCTTACCTTCCAGTTCCAGCTCGCGTGGCTCTACTCAAGGTTTGCGCTCGGCCGATGGGTGGGGGCCAGTGGGTGAGTGGGCCATGTGGGCGGTGCAGCCTTGTGTTCTTGCGCAGCCTGGATTAATTGCTTTGTGGGGAGTTTTTTGGGGGGATATTTTGGGGGACATCTGGGTTCTAATTTTACCCACCTCAGAGGGATGGAATGCTAAGTCAAACTGAGCTGATCAGGATCGAACTCCAGGCAATGAGCAGAGTTAGATAGCAATGCTGCATTCTAACCACGGCGCCACCACGGCTCCAATACAAATTGTGTTACACGTGCATGCAAAGATACGGCATTCCTCAGCTTGAGTCAGGTGGGCCTGTACAGGGGATCCATGACGCAGGATCACAATCAAGAGCTGAATTTCCGTTGCTAAACGAGGCGGTCATTCAGCAAGCCACACCGGCTTTATGACCTTTACGCCATGGCCGTAAAAATCACTTTTGTTAAGCCAATCACGTGGTTGTTAAGCAACTTTGGATTGCCCCGTTGACAATGGGTGGGAAGGTCGTGACCTAGAGACCCCGCGACCCTTTGTAAATAGATGGTAGCTGCCAAGTGCCCTAATTTTGATCATGTGACCTGGGAGGGTGTTGCGATGGTTGTACATACTACGACGGGTAGATTTGAAAGTCCTGTGGTAGACTTTGAATGGAAGGCACCTTGAATCAAGGTCTATGCCAGGGGTTGGCAACCTGTGGCTCTGGAGCCACATGCGGCTCTTTTGGCCCTCTGCTGTGGCTCCCTGTCGGCTGATCCCACCACTGGCTGGCCTCTCCCCTTCTGGTCACTCCTCAGTTGGCCTGAGAAGGTAAGGGTGATGGCGGGGGGACGAAGACTCGCTCCATATTCCAAAGCAGGAGGTGACTGGGTGGGAGTGAGTGACGCCGAGTTGGCCACGCCCACCCAGTCACACCGCTTGTTAAATTATTGGCTCCCGGGGTTTTCTTTTCTGTGGGAAAGAGTCCAAGTGGCTCTTTGAGTGTTTCAGGTTGCAGACCCCTGGTCCATGCCTCTTGATGTTCAGACTCGTTTGCCAATACCTTGGTAGCAGAGGTGGTATTCAGCCGGTTCTCGAGAACCGGTAGCGGAAATATTGAGTAGTTCGGAGAACCAGCCAATCCCACTTCTGACTGGCCCCGCCAACGGCATCTCTTCTCCGCCTTCCATCAAGTCCCAGCTGATGGGCTGGGTCCTTTTTGGTTGCCCTGCACGGAACGGAGCTAGTGGGATGGGGAGGGAATGGGGATTGTGCAGTTTCCTTCCCCTGCTACGCCCATCAAGCCACACCCACAGAACAGGTTGTTAAAAAATGTGAATCCCACCATTGGTCAGCAGGGTAAGAGCCTCCCCTGTAGGAGGTTGTGCTGCTAAGAGGGCCGAGCTGCCACGAACCAAATCGGCTTGTCGTTCTTCACCCTCCCAATGTTCACTCTTTCCCATCCAGGCTCAACCCGTCTGCTAACCACCTGACGGAACCTCCCTGGGTCGCGACAGCCCTGCTGGCTGTCTCCTTGGTAGCTGGCACCAAGTTCTGCCTGGATTCTTACAAACAGCAACACATGGCCAACGAGGACTGAACCATTCGCTCCAAGCTTCTTGCTCAATAAAACTTGTACAACACCAGCGGGGGTTGCTCGTGCGTTTGCAGGGGTCTCCAACCTTGGCCACTTGTTAAGACGTGTGGACTTCAACTCCCAGAATTCCCCAGCGAGCATGAAACGGTCCTCACCCACTATAACAGGGGTCCCCAAACTTGGCAACTTTTAAGACTTGTGGACTTCCAACTTCCAGAATTCTGGGAGTTGAAGTCCGCAAGTCTTAAAAGTTGCCAAGTTTGGAGACCTCTGCATTATGTCTGGACTTTTGACTCCCAGAATTCCCCAGCCAGACCAGTTGCCAAGGTTGAGAAACATTGAACTAGGGATACCAAGGGGCAGATAGGAGACGCATGTCTGTACTGCTCTCGGCAACCTTAGGACTATGGTTCCCAGACAGCCTTGCCAGAAGTCAGGAGACCTGAACAGTTTTGAGATTTTAATTCAAGGCAGTTTGACAGCCCAGGTTGGAGAAGGCTGGGCTGCAGTTCCTTTTAGTCTCAGGTGATGATCAGGTGTGTTGCCTCCCCCGAACTGTAGCCATGTGTTTGGGTTTTTTGGGGGGGCGGCGGCTATGGTGGGCTCACGCATCCCGTTAAACTGAAATATGGCTTGTCTGATGTGGGTTTATTTTGATCTAGACAAGGGAGTCTCCAACCTTGGCCACTTAAGACTTGTGGACTTCGACTCCCATAATTTCTCAGCTAGCCGTGCCGGCTAGGGAATTGTGGGAGTTGAAGTCCACAAGTTTTAAAATGGCCAAATTTATGATGTAGACCGGGGGTCCCCAAACGTGGCAACTTTAAGACAGGTGGACTTCGACTCCCAGAATTCTCCAGCCTGTCGAAGTCCACCCGTCTTAGAGTTGCCAAGTTTGGGGGCCTCTGATGTAGACTCCGAGCCCAGCAGCAGCTTATTTCACAAACTATAGAGAAGCAAACCATGGCACAGCACAAAGGGGTGAATTGGCTTTTAAGATAATCATGCTTGTAGAAAAAAAGCAAACTGGCAAGCATGATCTAATTTAAAAAAAAAAAATAATTACGGGAGAACTATTTAATTTGGTCCTGATCAGACAGCAAGGAAATTCCGTTTCTGGTAAAACCAGGGAATTCTGCAGATATTCATGACCAAATAATAAATTGGCCCTGAGGGTGAAAAGGAGGTGCTGCCCCCACTTTGCAGTCCAAAAAAAGAAAAGGAAAAAAAAAGCCCCAGGCCAATCAGCTTCTCTTTCCATGCTCAGAGGACCTCTCTCCACCTGGGGTCAAGGAACAAAAAGGACTCCGAATGACACGTGGACCAGCCCGGCTTATCGGCTTTACTCAAACAGAGAGACTCACCTCGCTGCCCCACGGCTCCCACATTCCCCGTTTTAAGACAAAAAGGCGGCCAGATCAAGCGGAACTGGCGCGCACAGTCACACAAGACAGACCCCAAAAATAATCGAGGGCAAGCCACGGCCCACAGTCCCAGCCTGCAGCGAGGGCCACGTTCAGACGATCATCTCCAACTGCCGAGCGTACTCGATGACTTGCTTGGCCAGCTCTGTGGAGGGGATGGTGGCGTCTTCCAGCTTCTGCTGCTGCCCCATGAAACAGTAGTGGTTGTTGGCGCCCAGGAGCCAGCCTCGCTGGAAAAGGGGGAAGGGAGAGGA